TATTTTAATGAATGCACTTGAGCATTATACTAAATAAATGATCATGCCACACATTGCAGGGCTCAACGCAAACTTTTAAAAGTGGTTGCTAGGCTGGCAACCAGGCATCAGCTTTTGGTTGCCAAAACTGAAAATACGGTTGCCATTTTTAGACACCTAATATTTTAAATAATTAAGATACTATACAGTTATACATCAACTTAATAAGGAACATGTAACACAAAAGAATGTTGAAATGCTTTACAATAAGTAATTAACACAATTATTTGAAACAGTGGTAGTAAACTTGTCCACCCTCAATTGCTGGTATACAACACAGTAGTGCAGCTATTGTCATGTTCTTCACAGATCCCTCACAAATGAATTGAGCAAGTCAATAGTTTCTTGGTCATCTGTTGTCTCCCTTTCAAATTTGGGTTGTCTTGACCTTTGTGCTGATCCCCACCATAGATCCACTGGCCCTTCAGCATTGAAATCTTGGATTGGCCAGACAAATACATTTATAATGTTAAATAAATGAAAACCATTCACAATTAAGAATTAGATATTAATTATTAATGCTGTAAATTACCTTTAATATGTCTAACTATATTTAAAATGTGTTACCTTTTTATAGAAGTGATTATATTTGTATGCCAATATTTTCCTATGGTAAAGTTTCGTTTTGCACTTTTTTTTGGTAGTAATAAGATCGGGACTCTTATTTTGAAGGAACTTTTACCGGAAGTGAATGGACAACGGTCCTCTTTGCTTTTCGTTCGGGTTTAGCTTACGCTTTATCAGTTGAATCACTTTGAACATTCGTTTGAGATGTTGACTGGTTATTCGAACTTTTTACCGCACAGTCAAACAACTTAATTTGCTTAGCCATTTTTTGTAAAGACAAACACACGGCGCACCACCCACGCGAGTAAACGTGCATCCCTTTCTGGCTCCGTAATCACACCAATGCACGTGCAACTTAAGTATCAGGTTCCGACTGGTCACAACAATAATTAAATATCACTCTTAATACAACAAATAATTAACATTTATCTATTTTGGGGTGCACATTTAGCTGTTTGCTGTCCTTATTTCTTTATGTTAGAAACTGGTTTCCACTGATGGCAACCAAAGGCCAAAAAGTGGTTGACATTTTTCTGAATGGTTGCCAATGGCAACCTGGCAACCGTTACTGTCGAGCCCTGACATGTAAACTCTGTCTGTCAGGAACCAAGAGGAAGAGCGACCGCTCCGACAGCCGGGACCCGAAGAGGCTCCGCCCCTCTGCAGGCCACGCCCCCTCACGCTCCTCCAATAAGAGGGCTTCAGGCCTGCCCCCCTCCTCCATTAAGAAGACTGCCTCAAGCCCCAGAGCCCGCCCCCCCGCCTCCTACCGCCACGAGTACTATGACGAGAAGAAGAGTCGACGAGGAGCCCGCGAGCCAATCAGGAGCCGGGGGGAGGAGCCCCGCAGGAGGGAAACCCCGAGGATTCTGGAGGGGCTCAGCCAGGTGAGATTTTATTTTATTTATTTCGAATGTGTAAAACAACTATCACATCCACACGGCACGTATCAGCCAATCACATCCACGCGGCTCATGGTGATGAAGACTTGAAATATCACATCCCTCCCTGTGTGTTTAGAAGCTGAGGAGAGCAAGCCCCGCCCCCCCGCAGGACGCCCGATCGGAGGGCGAGGCGGTGCCAGAGTTTGGGTCGGAGGCGGGATCAGGAAGCTCCTCCCCCTCTGGTTCCCACGCTGAAGAGGAGGAAGAGGAGGAGCAGGAGGAGGAAGAAGAGGAGGAGGAGGAAGAGGAGGGCATGGAGGAAGAGGAGGAGGAAGAGGAGGAGGAAGGAGAGAAGGAGGAAGACGAGGAGGAGGAAGAGTACGAGCGTCGAGGAGAAGGAAACGACTACGACACTCGCAGCGAGGCGGGAGACTCTCGTTCCTCCGGAAGCTTCTCTGACGACGGGGAGTCGGTGCACTCAGGCTCCGCCTCCGAGGCCTCAGGTAACCACAGAGACAGCCAATCAGGGACATTTAGGATGAAGCAAAATACTTCAGTCCCATCAAAGTCATGTGATCTTAGAACAGCAAACCTCAATCTTTTTAATTTGGCTTACACTTTGGAACAATGGTCTTTCAGTGTCACTGTTAATGTTTTATAGTGGTAACTCTTTCTGTTTTTAATATCATACTCTGTGAAGCACTTTAAAGGTGCTATAAATAAAGTGTATTATTATCAAAACATTGTCATGGTTTCCAGATTACAGTATGACCTGATGAATTCTGTGCTTTTATTTTGAAAGGTTCGGAGAAGAAGCAGGAGAAACTGTCGTCTTCGGTTCGAGCCGTCCGCAAAGGGATGGAGAGTAAGGGCGGCCATTTTATATAATCAGATTGCTTTTATTTTTCAAATTAAATGAAATACTGAGATTACTTGTGTGTTCCAGCTCCGACCAGCAAGCTGCGCTACATCCTGAGAGACGCTCGCTTCTTCCTCATCAAGAGCAACAACCACGAGAACGTCTCGCTGGCTAAAGCTAAGGTTAGCTCTACTTCCTGTTGATCACCTCTCTACTTCCTGTTGATCACCTCTCTACTTCCTTTTGGTCACCTCTCTACTTCCTGTTGATCACCCCTCTACTTCCTTTTGATCACCTCTCTACTTCCTGTTGATCACCTCTTTACTTCCTGTTGATCACTTCTACTTCCTGTTGATCCTCTCTACTTCCTGTTGATCACCTCTTTACTTCCTGTTGATCACTTCTACTTCCTGTTGATCCTCTCTACTTCCTGTTGATCACCTCTCTACTTCCTGTTGATCACTTCTACTTCCTGTTGATCACCTCTA